GAGACGTGGGTGGGGGGTGGGGGGGTTGCTGCTGAGCCCAGACACACTTGGCTCATGTGGGGCAGTGCAGGGTGGGTTCCAATTCCGGGGGACCCAGGCAGCCTGGCAAAGGAAGGACCCTGGCGTCTGGGGCAATACCTGCTTGTACTTGCGGTAGCAGCGCTGGATCACGGCAGCTGCCATCTCCTGCTGCTCCTTGAGGCGCCGGCCCTGCAGAGGAACTCAGGGCATCAGGGGCTTGCTGGGGGGTCCTGGGCGCAGTCGGGCTGGGGGTGGTCTCCCACCCACCCCCACCCACCTTGTAGCGCCGGAAGGCGGTCTGGATGACACGGGCAGCCTCATAGAGCTCGCGCTGCTCAGGGTCAGACAGGGTGAGGCCGGCAAAGGCACTCTCCATGCGCCCATTGGCTGAGGCATTGAGGAACTCGGCCCAGCCGGCTGCTGTTGCTGTTGGTGGTACCGCCCGATGCTCAGGACCGGGTTCACCCGGTTGCAGGGGGCTCAGGCAGCCCCGCCGTGATGGGGACCCCGCCTCACGCCTGCTGGGGGAAAGGGAAGGCTCACATACTGCCCCCAGGACCAGGCCCATATCGGGGATTCTGCTTCACTGACCCCGCCCCCCATCCACTGCCTCCAGGATTGCAGCCCTGGTCCCTCCCAACTGCCCTAGGATCAGGGCCCCTGGTCCCCAGGATCAGGGTCCCAACCATCTTGTAGCCCCAGGATTGGGGCCTCCACCCCTGCCTGTCCCCAGGATTGGGGCCCTGCCCCCTCACAACTCCCCCAGGATCAGGGCCCCTGCCCCCGGGGCTGGGCCGTACTCAATGGGGGGGTCAGACTCGATGATCTATTGAGGTCCCTTCCGACCCTAACATCTATGAATCTATGTACCGGTGGGGGATGAGGCCAGGCAGCTGGTCCACGCTGTCCAGGTAGGAGGCCAGCCAAGCCATGGCGCCACCCAGCCACCCAACCGTGGGCGCCCCCCAGGCCGCCCGCGGCCCCCCGATCCCGCCGTGGCCCCTCGCCCACCCCAAACTCCTCCTGCTTGATGTGCTCGGGCGTCGCCTCGATGATCTGCCGTGCCAGCGTCACCATGTCCACCTGGGGGAGGCAGGATGCCTGTGTTCCTTTCCTACCCCCTGCCAGGTTCCCCCACGCACTGGAGGTCTGCCCCAGCCCTGGGCCAGGGGTCTAATGGGGTAGAACAGGGGTTGCTGGGAGCCCAGACACCTGGGTTCTTTGCTGCCTGGACGCCTGGGTTCCTGCCCCTGGACACCTTGGTTCTCTCCTCCCAGCTCTAGGGGGCCAGTGGGCTCTGGTATGTTACAGCCAGGAGCCCAGACGCCTGGGTTCTATCCCAGGTGTTGTAGGGGAATGGGGTCTGGTGGGCCAGAGCTGTGGATGGAGTGGGGGCAGGCTGGATGCCTGGGCCCCACAGGCTCACCTGGAGGACATCAGTGGGTGGCAGGAAGTCCTCGTTCTCAGCGTCCTCGCTGTAGCTGAGCAGGCCAGGGGCAGCCGCAGCACCGCTCTCCACCTTGTAGTCCATGAAGAAGGGAGGTGCAGGGGTGCCAGGTGGACTGGGGGGCTCAGGCAGGTACCAGGCGCCCCCGGGGGGCGGGCACACGTCCATGTGCCCCCCCCCAGCCCCGACCTCAGCCTCAGGGCTGGCAGGCAGCGAGTCACGGGCGCCGGAGCCACTGGAGTAAGCCGAGGTGAGCGACAGTGACGCCTCTGAGCGCTCTGAAGGAGACGATGCACTGCTGCCCCCACTCAGCCCTGGGGAGGTGGGAAGGGGTCAGTGGGGGGGCACCCGCCCCAGACCTAGCTTGGACACCCCATCCCCACAGCCCCCCCAACCAAAGACAACCCAGGCATCCAGGCCCCAGCCCACCCCCACCCCATCCAACTCCCAGGCCTCCCTGACCGCCACCC